CTGGCAAGGGCCGTAGTATGAGGCAGGTTGTCACCCAAACCAGTGATAATTAGCGGGCTGCACCTCTGCTGGACAGGAGTCAGGACCTTCTGGCAGTGGAGGCAGGCTGCTAATTAGGGCATCCACAGTGTCCGGGCCAGGGCTCAAGCAGGACAAGACGCCCGTCAAACCGTCGGCTGGCTCTCCACACCACCAGCACACCACCTCCACCTCCGCATGATGCATCCATCCGCTTTGCTTCCTCTGCTGGGTGCTTCTCCACCTCCGCACAGCATCAACTGGCCACATGCCCCTCCAAACCCCTCACTGGAGCTCATTTGGTGCCTACCTTACTCGCCTACATGGGGTAAGAGTCGGTTTACGAAGGGGCCGTCACAGTGTGCCGTCCTTTCCCGTCGTGGCTAGCAGCCTCGCACTATCAATAGCCCGGGCCAGCTTCGCCCTCCAGGTTCGCGCCGCTTCGCTTCTGGTCCTGGCTGCGACCGACGCCTAGACTCGCGCGCAAAGCAGAAGTGTCTTCGCGGCAGCATCGATTTATGCCTGGCGCTGGGGCTGTGGGCACAGTGCCAGGTGCTAGACCGACCCATGTCCAGCCATCCAATCCATGCACGGCCACTCGTTTGCCCTGTCCCCAGCTGGCTTCCATGCCTTCTGGTAAGCTCGGCCTGGCCTCCTCACTGACGGATGCTACGTCGCCGACGACGGACATGCAGCTGGCCCCATGAGCAAGTGGTCATAAAAACAGCAGCAGAGGAGCTGCATACCCAATCCACCGTCTGCTAATAGCTAGTAGCCGCCAACGGCCACCGACGCAAGCACGCAAACAAAGCTGTCTTGGACCTGGGACAGGCGCAGGCCCTAGTTTAACTCCGTTCAGCAAGCCAAACCTTGGAATCTCCTTTTCCTGGATCGGCGCGGCCCCCTCACTCACCCCGGATTTCTCTGCTGCACAGCACCCGAGTGAAATGATCCCTACGAGACGCTCTTCTTGCGCGTGACATGCGGTCGCTTCGGTTCCTTTCTCGAAAAGAAAAAAAAATTCAATCCACCCCACGTACATACTTAACTACCTACTTACCGTTGCAACTTGTGGCTGAGAGACACCTCCCTCATGCCGTTGGAGGACCTGCCTATCCATCCGCCCATCGCAACCCCCAGCAACTGGTTGCCTACCACTGACAAATTTCCGGGAACCAATAGTTGTATTGGCTGTGCTGCTGCCGTGCTTGGTTGACCTCGGCTTCGCTCGTTGCATCAGGCCCTCTGACCTGATCTGAGCTCAACCCGGCTCTATCCAACCGCTCATCCATCAATTGCGCTCCCCTACTTGACCTGTCTAGTCTACTCCTCTGACATAGAGCTCGGCTTTCTCTCGCGATCCCTGGCTACACCGACGGCTGGCCGATATGAGATTCGTCGTCCATTATCCTGACTGAATGACTAACGGGCACTCCGGTAACAAACACCTGCCCGGGGACACTGCCCTTCTCACACGTCACACCACCTCCTAATCACCAGGAGTTGAGGGAGACAGGCATCTGGGCAATGTGAAACTCGGGTCCTAAAGCTATTATCAATCTCGGCGCCAGAGGACATTCGCTCACCGACACATCTTTTTTCCCTTCTCAGCGCCGCTTTCCATCATTCTGGCAACCCAATCCGGCTGGGCTCTTTCGGTTCCTGATTCACCGGCAGTCTTTGAGCGTTCCATGATCGGCTTACAGAGCATTGTATTTCCCTTCTGAGGACATGAGCGTTTCCGTCTACAATCCCTCGGGTGCGCTTCCGCAAATGTCTGGTCCCCATGCGACAGTGGCCTTGAGCCGGCCTCAGGTGGGCATTGAGCGCCTCCCGGCCCGCCGAATGAGCAACGAGCCACGCGAATCTATGAATTGCAAATCTTGCAGGAAGCGAAAGGTTCGTTCTCATTTCCGAGTCTTGGCCTGCATTCATATCTCGCCAGATTATTTGTCTTATGTTATCTTGAAGGCCTCGGCTTACACATCCGGTGTCTAGATCAAATGCAATCGCCTTCGACCCGCGTGCGAGGCATGCCAGGTTTTCCAGTGCCCTTGTATCTATGGTATGTTTAGATATCGGGGTGTCATATTATCCCCTGCCCACGATAGGAGCCACCTGAACAATATTGACCAATGTTCAGATGCCGTACCCAAGAAGAGAGGCCCCAAAACAGATGTTTTGGATGCTTTGTTGAAGCGGGTGGATGGCCTCGAGGCCAAGTTACGAGAGAAGAACGCGGAGCAAGTCTCCTCTTCCAGTTCAGCGGAGCCAACTACAGCTGTGAAAGAGACAGCAGACGAGGAACTCGAGAAACCGCCGCACAAACGCTTGACTGTCGATACTAGAGCATCCCCGACAGGGGGGGAAACCTTGGCGACTCCCGTTTCCATCACCAAGTCAAAGTCTGTTCACCATTCTTCGGCTCCAGTGTTCAAATAGACATGCTGACCGATTGTGACCTTCATATAGGGAACGAGCCCCGCCCCTAGTGCCGGCTGAAGCCTTGATAGACACTTACTTTTCTCGATATCATGCGAAACCCTACCATATCCTAGATGAGTCGACGACTCGACAACGAGCACAGCTGGGCCAACTGCCTGACTTCCTTGCTAACGCTATGTTCGCGGTAGCTTCAAGGTAGGTAGACGCGCTCTGTTATTGTTGTATTTTCACTCGGCTCACCTTTCTCTTAGATACACCGCGCACCCTGACGGATATCAAGCAGCGGTTAATCTTAGCGAAGACTATGCTGCTCGTTCGAGAAAGGAGATCGATGCTGATGAACCTTCCGTTGACGGCTTGCAAGCAGCACTTCTTCTGGTGATGGCCTTCATCGCATCCGGGAAGGGTAGAAAGGCATACATGCTCCTCGGTAGGTTTTGCATTTCACAGCTTCCTTGCGGTCTGTTCAAAGCTAATCCTAATCTTACAGCAACCGCGACCGGAATGGCGATGGCTCTCGAGTTGCATCGGGAGATGGACGACCAACGCATGGCCTCATCTACAGAAAAGGAGACCAGGAGACGACTGTTCTGGACTTGTTATCTCCTCGATCGTTTTACTGCGTGTGGCTCCAAGAGGCCATCCCTCATAAGTGATAAAACTATCATGCTTCGCCTCCCATCTTGGGTACCGAGCCCATCGGCGGGATACATCGAGGGAGAATTTTTCCAGGCTGGCTCCAATCTACATCATTTCCAGGGAAGCGACAGAAAGTCCCAGGGCAGCACGGGGATGCTCATCGACATCACCCGCATCTTGGGGGTAACAAACAGATACTTGGCGGCCGGCGGTGTGAGAGGCGACTCGCACTTCCCTTGGCATTCTTTATCGAACCTGTCCAAGATTCGCCAGGATCTTGATACCTGGGCTTCCGGAACCGACGACGCATTCTCAAGCCTTGAAACGCTCTTTGGGCATCCAGATAGTACCACGCTGGTTCTTAGCAAGCTCATCTATCATCTGATCCACTGCTTGATCTACCGCCCCTTCTTACCGATTGACCTGTCCGAGCTTGCAGGTAACGGGCAACACGAATCGTGGCAGATTGAGGCAACCAACATGTGTTTCTTGCACGCCAATGCCATTTCTGAACTAACAGAACTTGGGAAGCAGACGCCAAATCTTGAATGGCCAGCGTTTGTAGGATATTGTCTCTGTACGGCGGGAACAGTGCATATTCATGGGGCACACTATAGTAAACAAGGCGCAATTGGTGAGATGAATGTTTTCAGTTCTTCTTCTCGGTTCCTTCCTCGGGAGATGCAGCATCTTAGCGAGCTGAGTTACGAGTGGGCAAGCGTTCAACACCATAGGGAGACACTTCAGGGCATCTACAATGCCCACACTGAACTGGTCAAGACCCTGACCGGTAACATGAGATATACCCCGAGTTTCCATTTGGAGGACTTTTTCGAAAGGTATTCGAATATTGGCGGCCTGGGCGGGCCATCGTTTCAATTTGATGCAGCAAACTTAAGCCTATCGGATGCTGTGGTCAATTTCACCGCCGATACCTTTCCTGGGCACGATTTGTACGCACCGCGAACTTCTGGAGACCGAATACAAGCAGGTCTAGCTCGTGGAAGCACTGCCTCGGTTTCTTCACGGATGGCTCTAGATCTGAAGGCAGAACACCAGCAATTAGCATCACCACGACGTCCAAGTTTCGCCAACCGATCTATGTCAACCTCTAGCTCTGCTGGCCTTGCAGCCAACGTTCCCTCCGCAGTGCTTGCGGCAACAAACACTTTCGTGTCTTCGCACAATCGACACAACGCAGGGCCGATGGAAGGGATTGATAGTCCAGTCTTGGGAAGCAGCTCAACAGAACAAACCAGACCTAGTCAGCCGTCCGGCTTCCCGATCCATACTAATACTCAGATCGGTGTTGGCCAAGGCCTATCGCAAGCAGCACCAGGAGGACCGTTTAGCCCCAACTACAGCTTTGGGTCCGGGGCAGGAAATGCCGGGCAGGTGCTGATCAACGACAGCAATGCACAGTATGACCCGATGTTTGGGACACTTCCCACCAATGCCTTTAGCAGCCCAGCAGCATGGCATGGTGACGATTCTACCCAACCAAACAAGATGAACTACCAAACATCGAGCATGAACGCTCACAGCCCCGGGACTGGAAGCAACAACGGGAGCCTCACGACCACACAGGCCGATGAAAAGGATCCGTTCCTTAGTCTATTGGAACAGCTTGCAGAAAATGAGCAACGAGTCAATAATGGATTCAGCGACTTGGACTTCTTCCTAACTGGAGGTGGCTCTGTTGGGTGAGGGATGATTCATTGCAAGACTGGACGGGATAACAGAACAGAACATGTTGTCTAGAACACTAGACGCGGAATGATAGTCAACGAACGCATTTATGAATAATTTCAAATGTAAAATTTACGTTTATGATGATAAAAAATATATATCCCTTATACAAAATGATCAATCTATTTCTAATAACACGCCTTTGTGATTTACACTTCCCCCACTCCCTCGTTCTCCATGACGGCTACCCGGGCATCTACTTGCTCGTCCTCCGTCTCCTCCCTCTCAGGGGCGGTCCAGCCCGTCCCAGCCTGGAAGACGAGAACGACGACTCCCAAGACGGTAGCGGCCTGGAAGACGATCCTGATGGCACTCGCGTACGAGTCTATCGCGACGGCCCTGTCCTCGAGACTCAGGCCGCCCCCGTAGACCAGCTCGGGGGCGCCGAGGAGCTGCTCGATGAGCCACCTCTTGGCCGGCGTGAGGGACTCGCGGCCGTCGACGGAGCGGAAGCCGTCCGTGAGGCGGAACCTCAGGACGCGGTTGAAGATGCCGCCGCCGATGGCCGTGCCGAACGCGCCGCCGAAGCCGCGGAAGGTGCCGAGGAGGCTGGTGGTGATGTACTGGGTGCCGTCGTGGCTGTGGTGGAGGAGGTGGGCGAGGGTGTAGTTGACGGCGGCGCCGGTGACGAGGCCGGAGCCGAGGACGATGGCGGCGATGGCCGGGGTGGAGGAGTTGGGGTAGGTGCAGAGGGAGAGGGCCCACATGAGGAGGGCGAAGAGGGCGATGGAGACGAGGCAGGAGAGCCAGTAGGAGGCGTGGCGGCGGATGTGGAGGTAGCCGACGAGGACGCCGCCGAGGGCGAAGCCGATGTTTGTGGGGAGGAGGATGGAGCCGGCGCGGGCGCGGGACTGGCCGTGGACGGCCAGCATGAAGATGGGGGTGTAGAAGAGGATGGTCCAGCGGGCGGAGAGAAGGCCGAGCTGGGAGAGGCAGCTGAGGAGGGTGGCGCGGGAGGAGAGGACTTTGAGGGGGATGATGGGGTCGGAGGCTACGCGGTACTCTACGGCGAGGAAGAGGAGGAGGGTGCCGAGGGAGAGGAGGATGATGAGGGGCTCAATGTCACCAGCGAGGGCGTAGAGGAAGGTTACGATGGTAATAGTCTGGAGTAGGGTTGTTAGAGAAGGTGTGATGTGGATAGGAGCAGGACACGTACCAGGAGCGAAGCTCCGAGATAGTCGAGGCGGGCTAATTTTTGCCATACGGTGGCAGAGCCAGATTTCGTGGAGGATTCTGCAGGATGCGGCGGGATGCTGAGATAGAGAACTGCACCGCTGATCAGAGCTAGTGGAGTTTGAACGGCGAAGAGTGGTCGCTTTGGGAGTTGGAATATGGTCAGTTATCGCTTATTGACTAGAAGAATGAGGTTTGCAGAGAAAGGGGACAAGGGGGGTATCCTTACCCATCCAAGAACCGGGAGGAGAGCTCCAAAAACGATCCCTCCGATTGATACACCCAGACTCAAGCTCCCATTGACCAAGCCCAGAACGAATCCCCGCTGCTTCTTGCTCGTCATGTCCAAGACTAGGATGACTCCCAGTGAGAGGACGCCGGCTCCTCCTAAGCCGGTGATGACACGTCCCAAAGTGAATACTTGGAAGTTGCCGGCGTAGGCGCTGACCAAGGAGCCCAATGCAACAAAGACGGCAATGGGCAGGACCAGGACGCGCGGGGAGAAGATGCTGGCGAGACGGCCGCCGAGAGGGCCCAGTGCAGACATAGAAATGAGGTATGCGGATGTGAACCACATGACTTTGTCATATGCGTTGATGTCGTGGGCGATTGCACCCTGGATCACAACCATGCCTGACATGTTGGCGGCTGCGGGCCATCGTTAGTTTTCTGGCTCTCAATAGGGCAAATATCGAAGCAGATGGCAAACCTTGGATGAAGATGAGAACCCAGAGACTGAGTCCTACGACGAAAGCTCGCAGAGGGCCAACCGGGGTGATGGGTTCGTCCTCATCCGGAGTCGCGTTGGCCTGCCCATGCTCGATTGGTGAAGGCCGGGCGCCTGAAGAAGGAGATCCGGAGAGCAAAGGCGTCTCTTCCGATGCAGATTCCAGTCCCTGATACTCGATCCCGGACCTCCCGGCCTCAACGGAGGTGACGCCGGGGGCGGGCTCGGGGTAGGACGGTTGGCGCGTATCGGGCGCCATCTTACAGCAACGGTTCAAATAGTCACATATGTCTCAAGGGGAGAAGAATCTGGGGAAGATTGCCGAGAAGAAGTCTCGTCCAGCTCGGGATCAAATCGTGACCGGAATGTCTCAGTTGAACTCGAGATGAGCATGTTCATTTCATGTTGTTGATTGGTAATCTCAATATCTTATCGGCCTGCGGGGCTCAACTCAAACCGATCATCCCAGACGGGGACAGAAGCCCTGTAGCAGTAGATTAGATTCCCCGAAACTCGCATTTGCGATGCCGTGCGTTGATATTGATACTATGGGGAGAGGTTGTGTTTACGACGAGCATGTAGATAGACTGGAATTAGAGGCGGCCAATCGCAGCACGGGATCTGGGCTTGTGCAACGGCGGATAGTGATCACGACATCAGGCACTGCAACAAGAACCACAAATCCATCGCCCGCCACACATCCACATTGTGGAATGTGGCGTAAGTCTGCCGGTGCAAGAATGATGAGGCCGACTGAAACATGCTTAATTGAACCAGATCAGTCCGAGCCGTCCACCGCTGCGGACCAGCCCTGTGTGTGGAAGAGGGCATTGCCGCTCTCCCAGGATTGTCTTCGCAACCACGACTCCGACAGCACACTTTGCATTATGAAATCTGATATCTGAGCGGCCAAACAGTCTGATTGTGTTGTGACGGGTCAAGGGTTCCGCCTTGGCGTTCGGCGGCAACGTCATTTTCAGTCAGCAGCAAAACAGGCACCCAGGCAATTGCAGCAGGATTGATCGAATTGAATGAGCCCGAGTTGAGAGCAAGCGCTATTAACAAACCAGAGCCAGCACATGCGCGCATTTTGCTGGCCACCTGACACTACCTACCCCATAGACGGGTATGCACATGGACAAGGCCAAAATGCGCGCAACGCTCGTCCCTTGATTAAAAAAAAAAAACGGCTGGCTCCATTTTTGGCGTTGTTGCACTCATGTCGGTGTAGATTCGGAGAGGGCAGCCACATGCAGAGGCACATACATATGCCACCCGTGACACCCTCGTAGCATGGAGCGGTCTCGACAAGCCCAGTAGGCCCGACACGAACGGCGGGATGTCGGCAGGGATGGCTCGTAATCGCAATTGCAGAATCCGGACAGAATTCCAGTTCCGGCTTCAACAATGGCTGTTTGCTGAAAGCTTACGCAAGAGCAGAAGGGAAAGGGCAGCCGACGCTCGTGACCTGCCGCCCAACTGAAAAATCCGGGGAACTGGGGCAGGCGGGCTGGAGGGTCCTGCTAAGCACTTTCCCTCGCGCCTTCCTCTGTACCGTCTCTAGCCAGGCCTCTAGACTTCAGGTTGGGCCCCGGAAACCAATTGGCTTGCGCATCTTTCTAATTGACCCCCTCCCCCAACACCTGCGCTTTGCTTTTGCTTCGCGGGGGCGCTTATTGTGTGTGTCTGTGCTGTTTGTGTGTGCCATCATCCTCTCGTCATGACCAACTGTATGCCACCCAGCCCGGCCCTGGCGGGACTCAACTTCTCGCTCCTCTGATTGGACCCCGGCGCGAGGTTTGCTCTGTCGATGTCATCGTTTGGCTCTGTCCCAGGTCCATCCACGTCTCTCCACCCACCAACCGACGTCTCAAGTCTCTCAGCCACCCAACCACTCGCTTGGGGCGGGTTAGTCGGGGTTTTATCCCTCATGGGAAAGTAGTGGAAGTGCATTCGTTCATGCCATCCCCGCCAGACCGAAGCTAGTCCACTAAACGGTAGCTGTAGGCAGTGCTTGATTGCGGTCACGGTCCCGACCGGTAATTGCCATGATGCGCATAAGAACGGCGAACCAGTGAAAAAAGACGCCCGGGAGCCTCGCGACAATTGAATGCGCCTCATCCCACACCTTTCGTGTTGACTTTTGCTTCGCTTTCTCCCAGTTGGGTCGCACGCAGCCTTTCTGAGGGACAGCCGGTCCGGGACTGCCAATACGGCCTCATCCCGAAACTCGCCTAGGAAAGCCTAACGCCAGCGCCCCAGTAACAACGAGGGCGTGCTTGTTGGGCCAAACCTATCAAACGCCCAGCCCAGCCAGCAACGACGACGGAGAAAAAAACTGGGATTTCCCGATATTGCAATCGGCATTTTAGGGCCTACTTGCTGCACCCATCCTGCTGCCATCCCTCCCATCCCATCCGCTTGTGTCAAGGAACCGCCAAGTCGGAATAATTGATCAACATCATCATCATCATTGTGCCAAAATTTTGCAGCTCCCCGTTCGGCCCAGCACTCCTCCTCCCCGCATATCCCTTCATCCCAATTTTCACACCGCATATAATAAGCGCTCGAGCCCATGCTCTGAAAGCGCTTAGTGGGACACGCGACCGCCCATTGCACCAGTTCGACCGACCCGACTTATTCGTGTGGCGGAGGTACGCACAGACAGATGCGGCTCCACTGTCATTAATCTACACGACATCTACTAACGGCACCTAGCTTGGGCTTTCTGACCTCTTGATCATTAATCTTCATTCTCCACCTGGAAAAAACCCTTGGGGATTTGAAACCGAGATATCGCTTTACCGCCATGAGCCTCTGGATCCTTGGAAACCAATTCCGGTCTTGACATCACCGCTGCTTTCGCCACCCAGTCAACCTCTCTGCCTGTAGTCACCGAGAGGGGGGACAACCTTAAAACTAGGAAATAAACTCTGAGGCCTGGAACCCAGCAAAGCTCACTCAGGGTGAAAGCTCGAACAGCCAAATCAGTGGAAGAGTAGAAGGAGGAGGAGGAAGGCAGGGACTGATTCATTCGAAATATTGACCTGCTTTGAAACTCCAAGTGCCAGCCACCTCTGGCGAGTTCCAAGGCTAGGATCGGGCCAAGTGAAAGAGAGAGAGGTCGAAAGACGGGAGAGACTGAGCGACAACTCCAAGGCTCGCTCACCACCACATTCCCATCGTCACATCTTATTCCTCGTATTCCTGGATTCAGTCATTTAAATGGCCTGCAGCCCGACAACTACAGTGGTGCATTGTCTCACTGGTTCGTACTTGTCGTGATCTTCCTGGATTGATACAATGGCCGAAGACTGTACCCCTCTTATCGGTTCTCCAATTCATGCAACACTATAGCAGCTATGCTGGAAGCCCGCAGCAGCGATGCTGCTGGCCAACATATTCCGGACCGAGGCCCCCAGGTCTTTGCCGGAACTCTCGTCACCCTTATCCTCGCCACCGTCTTCGTCACCTCTCGGATCATCTGCCGTCACTTCATTGTGCGCAACGTGAGCTGGGATGACCGCGTCATTGTTATGGCTTGGGTCTTCGCCTTTTTTCTCTCTTTCACCATTATGTTTGGTGCAAACCACGGACTAGGACGACTTGATGTGAATATCCAAGCAGATGAGCGCGGCGTTCTACGCCGTTGCGAGTATGTCTTCAGCATTCTCTATGTAGGTCACCCAAGCATTCCCTACGAGACTGATCTCTTGGCTGACACCATATATCAATACAGAATCCAGCCTTGGCTCTCATCAAAACGAGCGTGTTGATATTCTACCTACGGCTAGCCAAACACACACAACTCGTTCTCCGCTATAGCAGCTACTTCTTACTCGTCGTTGTCAATGTTGCTAGTTTTGTTCTCACGATGATCAACATCTTTCGTATGCATATTTATCCACTAGTTCTCTATTCGAAAGCTGACCATTTTGCTATAGAGTGTAGCCCCATCAGTTCTGCTTGGAACCCGTTCTATGAAGGCAAGATAACTTGCTTGCCTCTCCTCACTGAATTCATCTGCGCTTCTCCTGTCAACGTCGTGACAGATCTAGCTCTGTTAGCGTTGCCTTTAGCAACTCTCGCAAGAAGTAGGTCAACTAACACACTCCCTTATTCGATGAGAACGGAGTTTGCTCACGTTTCCTTCCTTTTCCCCCGACTGCAGTGCGACTTCCAATAAAACAAAAGGCCATTCTCATTTTTACATTCGGTCTAGCAATATTTGGTACGTGAATGTTGCCTCGTGCCTTTACTATTTGCATCTTTTAAAGCTCTTTATGGAAACTGATACAAATCACAGTCACCGTCATCGATGTCGTTCGTATCCACACCATACAAAGTGCGATATCAGATATCCCGACCGGTGAAACCAATACTACTTTTGGGGGCCAGGATGACTTTGCTTGGAATGCATCGCTTTCCTTCATGTGGAGCGCTGTTGAGGTGAATATCGGCATGACTTGTGCTTGTATTCCAACTCTCAAGCCCCTAATTCTCAAGATCCTTCCGTCAATGCTGTCCGGCCCCAACAATTCACGAACGACGACATCGAAGAGCCGCAATGATTCAGATAATGCCGCCAATGGAAGCCTCCCCCGTCCAAGTGACGAGAACCCCTCCCCTCCCAATGCAGCCCGAGCTAGTGAATCACTGAATGACCCGGCTCCTGCAAATGACCAGCATGCATCCGCTGCCCTCGAGTTTCTCACTACGCCCGAGATGACGCATTTGCCGCACCCCAACCCTTCTCCCCGATTATCCGCCTTTTCACGCGCTCGGACGGATATCACAGGATCAACGTCTTTGACTGATGAGCACTCGGTTTACTTCGGTTTCGTCAACATGGCCAAACCCAAGAGCATGCTGAAAACATCAGCTTCCGAGTCCCTCAAATACTGCAGTATTGTAGCTATTCTTTTCCTGTTATGGGGCATGTCATACGGCCTTCTAAACACACTTAACACTGTTGTGGCCGCCATCAACAATTTCAGCCAGCCTCAGACTCTTGGATTAACCAGTGCATACTGGGCAGGTGGTTACTTGTTTGGTCCTATACTGGTTGGAGAGTGGATTCTTCGCCGAGATGAACACAATCGTTCCAGGAGGCATAGTAAAAACGAGGAAGAGAACACAGGCGGCTTCAAGGTCACATTCATCTGTGGTCTTTGCTTTTACGTAAGTTCATTCCCCTTGCGCAGAAGCCATTGCAGCAGGGTCACGCTAATATCTTTAACGCATCAAGGGGATCGGAACAATAATATTCTGGCCCTCTGCCGTCACACACTCATATGGTGGCTTTATGGTATCAAACTTTGTCGTGGGCTTTGGGCTTAGCATCCTTGGTAAGCATCTTCAAGGTATTTGCCGTTTCAATGATCGAAAGACTGATAGCCGATACAATAGAGGTGGCCGCGAACACCTTTATTGTTCTTTGTGGACCCAGAGAACACGGCGAAACAAGGCTGATGATATGTCAGGCCATACAGGCAACCGGAAGTGTTTTGTCTGGCATCCTCGCCAACAAGGTCTTCTTCACCGATGTTGGGGATGACGGCTATACCTCAAGCACGGTACTTATCAATGTTCAATGGACTTACCTGGCCATCACACTCCTCTGCGCTGCTCTCGGCCTCTTCTTCTTCTATATGCCTCTTCCCGAGGTAAGTGACCAAGAGCTCGAGGACTCGACCAAACGAATTCCCGTAGACCCGAAGAAAAAGACGGCTGTCGGTCTTCAACTTCGCACGGTTGCTATCATTCTTGCTGTCCTCGCGCAGTGGTTTTATGTCGGCGCTCAAGAAAGCAACAGCACATATTTCCGCGCCCTGCTCCTCTCGACAATCCCACCCCACACCAGCAGCGGTGTGACCACTGATACCACAAATCCCGTTGCCTCGGACAGGCCTCTTGGGCTTGCAGTGTCTATCCCAGACTACCTACTTATCGGTCACGGGGCTTTTGCCGTCTCCCGTATCTTATTCAGCTACCTTCTGTACCTATCCGCCACACGCCCCCGCTTTCCAAAGCCCCGAAAGCTTCTCTCGATTTCTCTCGTTTTCTCATTCATTTTCGCTCTTCTCCCGGTCGTCCTCAAGCTGTCCAACCCGAACCTCCTAGTCATCCCGGTTATACTCTTCTTCTTTGCTGAAGGTCCCACCTGGCCCCTCATCTTTGCCATCGGTCTCCGCGGCCAAGGGCGGCGTACCAAACGTGCTGCCGCCTTTCTTACCATGAGTAATTCCGGTGGGGGTATTGCTCCCTTCATCATTTACGGGATTGTGGTCAGTGGCGGCTCGGTCCGCATCAGCTATATCGTTATTGTCGTTCTGCAGGTTCTCATAATGGCATATATGCTGCTTCTCGAATGCGTCAAAGATGTTAGAACAATGGTCGATCCGATTCCCAAGGCTCCCAATTCTATAGCTGATGAGGAGGCACCATCTCACGACGTCACGTCCAATGATTTACATCAAGGGGAAGCTTGGGGCGAAAATCAAAAAACCCTTTTTGGGAAATTCAAAGGTTTCAAATTACCAGTACCCCGGAGGAACTCCTCGTCTTTTGTCGGAGGATTTTTTCATAATGAAGACAGGGCTGCCAAATGACACCAGCTCTCTACAGAAAAGAAAAGGCCTCTTAGTGCCAAGGCGTTCTGGCTTGGATATTTTATCCATCTATATCACTTTTTTTTTCACGGGGCGGCTATCGTTTACAATTTTATCTCTTTGGGTAGCAAGCGTTTGCTTTTTGGGGCCTAACCCGGTGTTTGGGACTTATGAGTTATGAGTTCATGTGATGGGGATATATCAAATACACAAAGGCTATGGGCATATATATATATCTATATTAGCCATGTATTTAGACTCGAACGTATATACATACTAATGCGCAATCCTTTGGGATCTTTCCAAATTGATTCACGCCATAAACCTACCACACTGAGCCTGCTTGGCGAGACACCTCGCAGTAACGAAGCTACATGAGCAAAGTCATGCAGGAGCGTGCTTATACGTGGTGATTTATGCCCTCTTAGCCGCAGCCGAAGCAGTTTCACCATTTTGATCCAATATCCCTCTCAATCTTGGCAAACACGTCGACACCCTCGCTTCCAAGCCCAGTCCCCACGCCCACCATGGAGGCACCGACGGCCCTCATGCGCCTGTACCCGCCCCCATCGCTGACGCCGCCCACGCCCACAATGGCAATATGGCGCAGGCTGCCGTCCCCCTCGTCCAGCATCTTCCGGATCGTCGCTACGTTGCCCAGCGCCAGAGGGTGCAGCGGCGGGCCCGCCATCCCGCCGATGCCTCCGCTGTCCCCAAGGGGCAACGCTGGCCCCTCCGTCGTCATCACGAGGCAGGACCCGAGGGTGTTGGTCGCCGTGATGAAGCTCAGCTTGGCGCCAGCCCCCGCCCCCTCGAGCGTGCCCAGCAGGGCCTGGTACTGCCCCGCGTGGGTGTAGGGCGGCGTCTTGACCCCGACGGGGATGGCGGGGTCGCCTGGCAGGGCGGCCAGGTAGGTGCGCAGGGAGGCCGGGTCGTAGGCGGGAGGGGGCCGGCCGGGGATGTTGGGGCAGCTGAGGTTGACCTCGAGGGCGAGGGGGAACCGCACCTGGGGCGCGAGGGCGGACACGGCGGCGTAGCAGGCTGCGATGTCGTCTGGGGAGCCGGTGACGCTGACGATGAAGGTCTTGGGGGGGCGCGTGGAGGGGGAGTCATCGGACGCGAGCTGGCGGATCATGTCCAGGTAGCCTTGGAGGGGGATGGGGGAGTAGCCCAGGGTGTTGAGGGAGGCAGTGTGGGCTGCCTTGGAGGGGCCGACGGTGCTCGCCGTGGGGGACCGTCCTGGCTCATCTGGGAAGGAATATGTGTCTCCGTCTGGGGTGTTGGAGGCGCCGGGGTCGAAGAAGGTGAAGCGGTGCTGCTGTGGCTGGTGGTCGAATCCGGCGAGCAGCGACGTTCTCGTTGTCACGGCCCCCGTTGAGGGGGATTCCAGGAGGGCCTTCAGACATGCCAGGTCTGTCGCCCATGGGCAGGCCGAATTGACCAAAGGGGGATGGAATTGTAGAGTCGGCGGCATCTGGGACGACTACGGTCACGAAGGGTGGTATTCAGGATGTCACGACGTAGCATGGAGACCATGAAGCGAAGGATGGAACGTTGTTCATATACCCAGTTGGCTGGGTGGTGTGGGGAGGGCTGGAGGCGCGCGGATAGCACATACCACGCATATTGACTGATTGATTGATACGTGGTAGATAGAGAGATAGATAGAGAGATAGAGCGAGGGGGGTGGGTTTGATTGATATACGAGGATGGGACATTGATACACTTACATGCAATCTATCTTCCCCGCATTCGAGCCATGATAAGAAAAACGTTACTCCACTACAACTCCAATAAGTAGGTAATTAGACGAGAACGATGAGTCTAGGCAACCGAGGTTCAGTAAACCCCCACTAATTACTTCACCTTGAAGCATCAAGACTCGATATAAATGCAGATAGATTGCAGGTAGAGGTATATAAAAATCATAATCTAGGACCCATATGCGCGCCTGTTGAACCAAACCAAATAGATATTCCCAGAGCCAAAGTGAGAGGGCCCAAATTCCTTCTATAGACAGATCGAAAGTAAGAAAAAGAAATATCATCAAGCCATTTACCATCCAAATTCCTCGCAGTGAAGTTCAACTGAAGGTGCCTCACCATGAAGACAAGACACCGTCTTGCTTCGAACTGTTTCCATCAACCCACCAGGTCCGCAGCCCAGAACCAGCACGTGTTTCTCTGGGCTCATCTCATGGATTGCGTCTCCAATTAGAGTGCCAACATCGGGTCGACCGTAAGCGATTGGGGCATTTCCAAAGTGTGTGGCCGTATATCCAGCATCTTCGCTCTCGGATAGAATACCCCCTTTCTCTGGGTCGACATCTCCTCCTTCTTCTTTGGTTGATGAGGAGCCTGGGGCAGGTCGTGTAAACATATTTTCATCGGAATCAGTGTCCGAGTCTCCCAGGCTAGGGGATTTGGTGACAAAAAGCTTCACGCTTACACGCCCATCCGACTGCAGTCTCTTCACATCCCGGGCATACCAGGGCAGTTGTGCTATCGAGTCCGTCAGCGCGGTTTTCATATTTAGTCAATTCCGGGGTTCTCTCTGTACTTACTCGCATTTCTCACAATCCAGATGAGTAAAATAGCCTCATCCCTGTCTTCGGGTATTCTCTTCAAAGCATCCAGGGCCATACCGAAGACAAATGAAGCACCACAGCCTCCACCAACCATGATGGTCTTGTCAAAATTGGCAATGTTGGGTGTTGAACCATAGGCACCATCAACACTAGCTTTGAGAGTGATTCCTGGATGGGTGACGGCCCATCTGTGGAGGTCTGCTGTGAAGCCATCCTGGGCAGCAATGACAAACTCCATGGGGTGTAAGGATGCAATTGTAAATGGGTGTGTCTCAAACTGTCGAATCTTGGGGATCCATAAAAAGCAGTGCTTTCCTGCAGCTGCTCCCATTGGGGGCTTCTTCAAGCACACCCGAGTTGCACCGTCCGAGAGGGGGTACAATGTGACCTCGTTAGACACACTGCTGATCAGAAGACGACCTATTCTCAACAGTCGGTCCAAGACCCAGATGCCCCCACAAGCAGCAACAACCTGAAGAATGTTTTTGCTGAGCTCTGGCTGGTGGAGGCCGACCATAATAATGCCGACGATCCAGAAAAAGATGTGCGTAACATAAAAGAGCTCATACCACCAAGGGCGGATGACGATCCCCGAAAATGCAAGGAAGAAAAAGGAACAGCCAGCAACCATGCCATAGATTTCTTCCCGTTCCAGCAGCCTCGTCGGACGGCCATCGGCGACGAAATAGGCAGTGTAAGTCGATAGGTGCACAAGGACCTGGATGACTGTCACCCAGCCAGCATATCGGTGAAGGATGTTCAATCGCTCGTAGGACCATGAGAAAAAGGCCAGAGGGGTGTTCTTCAAGCTCAACAGAACGACGAGAACAAAGTTTCCAATCGCCATCCTGAATGTTCAAGTTAGCGTCTTCTCCCCATCACCAAAGAAGTAGAGCAGGGTCGAGTCGGCTTACCATCCTGCTCTCGAGGCTATATTAGGCAGCATAGGAAAGTTTTTGTTATCCAGGTTGGTGAGGGTGAGTATGATGTTAGCGGCGAAGTAGAGGAAGATGACGGTGGTATGGCCGATCGACGGGGCGAAGGATACGGGTGCTTTGCGTACTGCCACATTCCTGATTTTCCTGTACCACAATGTCAGCCCTGTACTCCGAAACAATGTAAATATCCTGATTGCGGGCTTACCTCGTTGCGAGTTGAAAGACAGATGGCTTGCTCTGCTTTCGGCTGAGACACTTTCGTCCCAGTATTCTGATGAGATGAAATAGCATGCAAATAAACAAGATGCCGCCCATGATTATCCCGAATAGATACATGGTATTGTGGTTATCTCTCGTTCGCTTAGCGAACTTGGCGAGAACCTCGGGAGTGTAATGTGATCCAGCCATGGTGAATTTGTCGTGATGCTTCCGATGGAAGACAGGAGGGGAGACAGGTCAATCCGTGAAGGTTTGAAGGCATAGATTTATAACCGCATACACTAGCTCATGCAAGTTCCATGTAATCAAGGTTTGAATGGGATGAGGTGATCTTAAAAGTGCTCCGAGTGAGTGGCGTTCATCCGCTCAGACAGGAAGACCTGAATATTAAAAGGAGGAGTAATAAGAGAATGAGAATTTTCTTGGCCTTAGGAGAAGCCACTGTTGAAGGTCGATGAAACAGATGAGAGTTCTCGACCATTCCATAAATTGATGACGATTGAGAGAGGAGTGACAGCAGCTTTATGTTCCCAAGGAAGGGAGGCTACCCACGGTGAGGGTCCGGCAACAACCAGCCGAAATGATAACATAGATCTCTTGAGGGAGTGAATGCTACGTGCCGTGCTCAAAAAAGCTTTTGGGCCGCTAGTGGTTTCAATAACTGAGGCGAATATCGGCCGATTTTTGACCTCGAGTGCAGTCATAGAGGCTCGAAGCCCTCAGGGTGCCGCCTCCGCAGCGGCCTACCCATGCAGACGATAGCATAACGCTTGCTATGCCATCCGCCAAGATCCCTGACGGGGACCATCTCCGCGGCCGCGCGCGTGTATTGTTAATCATTAGACAACCAGAAATGCTTACGACGAGACCTGTATCAGGAAGGAGAACGGGGCGTTCTAGGACTTGGCTTCGAAACTGAGGTTGCAAGGGGGTATCCTCTTGGGGATCTAAGTCCAGCGTGTTAAGCTCGGAGAACAGCCGTGGACGGCGGCAGCCCCATGGGATAGATTTACTTGACACTCCCGAGATCCCTTTGTTTCGGACAGGGTGGTTCCGCATACCCCCCCTGGTCCTGGTACACGGCTTCGGTCCCTGGAGACACATTATAAAAAGTACCATCCTGGACCTTGTCTGATAGGGAATCACCGCGTCCGTAGTCCAAGAGTTGTCACATAGATTGGGAGTTTAGGGCCCAGCACATCATTCTGTCCAAGTAAAATGCCACGAGGGAGGCGTTGCAACACCGCCTCAGCCAAAGCTAGGATGCGGGCCTGTTCGTTGGGCTCGACCATTCGCCGAACCATGTAGAATGACATGATTTGAGACGGCCATCACACCCTACCTGCAACATTATCTTGATGTGTTCCCAATAGCATTCCCAATAGAGCGAGGTCGGACAAGCCAAAGACAAGGAGGGTCTCGTCCGACGACCCTCGTGGTGAAGAACTGGCTGAAGTAACAAGCCCTCGGCGGACTCTCCTTCCGCATTCCAACATTGGTGCAGTGATGACAGACTTCTTTGGCTTTGAAGGGAAGACACCATCAGACCGAACGGGAATGTCATACTCTAGTGTCCAACTTACTATGCCAAAAGCGAAGTGTCAGCGTCGGAGGAAAAGGACCCTGGCAGGCCAGTTGATATTTAATATTTCGCCATTCCATCCAAAGACGGGAGTACACAATGGAAGGAAGGCACGATAAACCGCAGACCTTTCTCGAATAGACACTGCCATAGAGAGAGGACAATATCCGGATACATAGCAACGGAGACCTACTATCCGCAGGAGAGTCAGCGGTGAGGCGGCTTTCATGTGATAGAACGGGTTGGTTACGGCCGATGAGAACCCCAGCCAAGCTCGACTCGATCGGCGAGGCCAGATGCAGGAGGTATGCGCCAAGGCTACGCGATGGCCTCTCTAATGCAACTAAAGAAGATATTGCGGCATCATTCGTCATCAAGAGTAGCATCATCGCCATGCCTCGCAGCGAGCCAGGGGTCGGGGGGGGAAGAAAACGCGATGCTTAATAGATCCAATGACACCTATTAGATGGAAGGTGGAAGAATTGAGGCGGAGGGGATATGCAAGCCCTACGCAATGGACCAGACTAGACAGCACCGATGCAGGGCCAGACACAGAGGCAAGAGCCAGGCAAGGTAAAGTAACCCCCAGGCAACATAAGGCAGGCACGCCGCCCGCCCAGCACCCGCCTCGAGCTACGCACCTGCCTCCATGTTTGCTGGTATCAACAGCACCTTCCTCGTCTTGCTGCTGTCCGTTCTCCTGCTGCCTTGCTGAATCAGTGGATTCTCTCACGTTGCAAACTTCTAGCCCCGGTCGGATGGGATAGATCACCGCTCCCATGCCAATCAACGAGCCAAGTACTGAGCTGCCCGATGCTGCGGCAGATCCTGGCCCGATGGTGTGTAGGTGGGGTGCAGGAACGTTGAGTCGAAGCCACATACGACCTGCCTTGCGAAGCCCTCGATCTGCGGTGATCTGTTTCTCAAGATCCCTTCTAAACCTTACAGAGCCTAGCCAGTGTCAGGGCTCCCTCACAAAGGTCCCTCTCCTCGGCCAGGCCCTGAAATGGGTAGAGTGAGTCTGGCTTCACTAACGCATCACGTCCATACACACGTCGGCCGACCAATGCCTGTATCCATCCGCACTACCGGCTTCATCTACTGCCGTCCTGGTGCCGGCAGACCAAGCCAGTGCCCAACGTGGCCTTCCTTAATTACCAAGGGGTTGTTGTTCTGATCCTAACGCAAGTAAGTCGTCTCAACACCAATCACATACATACCTCCACGTTACGACTAAGAGCTGCAGTGGGCCAAACACGATCCGCCACATCCTTCCTCTCGTGCATAGATCAACTCACTCGTTGTCCACTCAGAAGTGCCATTTTTCACATGGCAGGACCCGTCAAAGCTTGTTGCCCAAATCTCTTGCGTATAGGCAGGGGCCCGAGCATGGGGGGCCAAGCATGACAATCGCTTGCAAAGCTTCTTTCTGGCCAGGGGATAGCCTCGGGAACTTTGGGGGTCGAAAAAAAGGCACTTTGATAAGTAAGGTAGGTACAAGTCCCAGAAGGAATAGCCTGGTCCTTTTTGTCGTCTTCTTATCTCTCGCAACATGCAATGTTTCATCCAGTTGCGTCCCCACGTCAGATATCTGCCAGTCTAGACCTGACGACTGTGAGTGCCGTCTCGTCTCGGTCAATAACAAGGAACCCGAATATTAATATTCCCAAAGATACGGATAATAATCTGGCCATTTTTGCTGACATTAGATTAGATGAACAACCCTCTCGAAACGGTCAATATGTAACCCTAAACTGCCCCTGTCACGTCGCAGTGGACAAATCTAAGCTTTTGTCGCCCAAGGACACAGCCCTCAGCAAAGCGATGGCTCATTTCGTTACGTCGTTTGTTTCACGAGCCGCTAAAGCTGTGTGATTCTTTTTGATCTCTTGATCCTTGACCTACATCTAACATTGATCTTTTCTCCTTCTCTAATTTCTCTCCTTTTTCTTTTTTCTCCTTGGCATGCATGTGATGTGCACGCGCATGCATGTCCACGTACCCCAATTGATAGAAACAAGAAAAAGGAGAAAAATCAAGCGGAGACAGACAAGTGAAACAAGTGATCCGTAGGGTTGCTTCACAAGATCGTGCCTTCCTGCTTTCCAAGCAATGACAAAGACGGGATGAAGTAGCAGCAGTCAATGCATGGACCAACGGTCATGGGTCACCCTGCCAGAGAGCCACATGCAAGCACTCTGAACGCCCCTCGTCAACACATGGGCGTACTTGCGCAATCAGAGCCCAGGACTCGTTGCGTGCTTGTGGAAGAAAATTCTGAAGAAAAAGAGGTGAGAGGAAAAAGACAGGGAGCTGGTATCTTCAGTTACGATGTTCGAGACCGCGTTGCGTCTTACATCTACATTAAGCAGGCCCCCGTCAACCCCCAACTTAAGCAAGATCAAAGAACGTGGGGGAGAATTGGATTCAACATCAAAACCGCGCGGTAAAAGGAAAATAGCTATTATTCATCAAAAAAGAGATAAACATTATAACCTTCAACATGGATGGATGCTGTATCTGCGATACCTGATGCCCAGGGGCGAAATCCCCCTCGCCTAGACCCTTCAGAAATCGGCGTATTCTTCCCTGTAGCCTAATCAATCAATTAATACCCTTTCACCCGAAGCCGCGCACTGCCGTCCGTGGGAAGAGGCCAAGATAAAGCTTCATCCATCCTCTTCCCACGGTGGATGCCTCGGCCCCGACTTACCGTCCTACCCGTCTCTGACAGCAGCCTAGCACGTCGATCACCGTCCGCGCCGAACAACAAAGTAGACAGTAAGCCGTAGATCCAGTCGGGGAGGTCCAGCCCCCCGTCCGTAAGATTCCACCCGTTGTCTAGTTTGCCACAGTTCTTGCATCATCACCGTCGTAACTTAAGCTGCGCCCTATCCTAGGTCCCGTCCACACCGTCCGTCCGCCGCGCGGTGGCCATTCTCTATTTGGGTAACTTTCCTGTCCGTGCAGCCTCGAGGAGAGTCATAACTGGGCTGGGGTAATCTTAGCGACATCTCAATAATAGAAAACAACGATGAGGACGATCCGGCCTCCCCCGAAACAAAGGACTGTAGCAAACCCGTCCACACCCTGATCCCAATTCCTCGCCAAAAACTCAAGACAGAATCCTGAAACAATCCCAACTCTCGAACCCCCCTCCAATAGGCTTCAGGCTTAATCATCGAGCGCGTCCAGGATAGCCCATCTTGGATACCTGCGTGTCGGTTCGCCAACATCAATCCCCCAGTTTAAAGGAATACCAGCCAGTCATGCAGGATATATCTAGCTCCGGAGACCGAGAGCCCACGGGATGCACAGAAGCACGCACCACGTTGCACAGAAAATGATTTGATTCCTATATGCCTATGTATAAACCCCGGACGCCTTTCCCGCGCGGGTCCTGCCTATGAGACTGCCCAAAACAAAGGAAGCACCCCCCAAACCGTAGTAGATGCTGCACGGCGTCACCAAAGCGTGTCGTCCTCTACCATCCTGTGTGGAATTGAGGGCTTCTCTGCCCTACTGTATCTTGCGGTCTCTGAATTCCAAGCGGTCCCACTGGGTGATGGTACTGGAGTCATCCCAGCCCCTGGCCTAGGGTTGATGGGGAGTCCAGATGGCGGCCCTGGTATCCTCGATGGGTGTGTCAATGTGTTCATTGGTGGTGATTTCGTACCTCGAAGGGTAGGATCGTAGCGGAAATGAGCTTGGTGTTGAATCTGCTCGAGGGGTGACTGGATTGAGGGCGACCCGTATGCGAGGCCGGCGTTGGACCCCGTGTCTACGCGTAGGGATGAGGTCAGGCCCCAGGCGGGACCGAAGGCAGCTCCGGGATGGAAAACCGTTGATAGAAGCGCGGCAGTGAGTGGCAGTGCCCCGACAACGATCATGAAAGCCGTTTGACTTTGGAAGAGTCGAGCGTGTATTCCCTCGGCCATCTCAACGATGCGATAGACTGTGTAAGTCAAGAGAAGTAGAGATACCATCTCCATTCCTGCCAACCCAAGGTAAGAAAATATTCCACGAGGGAACTAGATGTGCATATATGCTTACCAAGTAAGAATCTCCTGAAGCGAACCGATTTATAGACGACGGAAAACGTAGGAGCCCAGGTGGTCTTCTGAGAGCTGAGCCCAATCATGAACCAGAAGTGAAATACACTGAACCCCAAAAGCGAAAGCAGTTGAATGCCTAGCCCACCGACAACAAGGCGAGAGCCGCCAGCTCGCTTCCCCAGAAACGTCAGTATAGGGGCCATCACACCCATCGAGGAGAACCAAACTTACCCCAATGCCGTTGAAATCATATGCGACAAAGATCATCCCGACGACTTGAACAATCATGGCCACCGCTGCCAGCGCATAAGTCACGAACCCGATCAACAGTGGTCGTACCGGGCTAAGATGCTCCCCATATACTCGGATAACATGCGGCAGGGTCAAGAAGATGGCGCCGCCCATCAAAGGCGGGCCTATGACGGTGCCCACCATCGATAATACAAAGAATGCTGGGGCTTTCGGTGAGCCTTTGAGGAGGAGTCGGCCGGCAAATCCGATAGTCTCGAGCAATAGGCCGACTGCTAATGTCGCCGAAAACCATGGCGTCCGGTATCGAAATCCCAGATAGGTGGCGGCTAGGGCGAGGATGCCATACGCGGCAAGAAGGACAGAGTCTCCAACCAAGGATTGATCATAGGAATAAAACCCCGTCGGCACTGGACAGGTCGAGCCACAACCGTCTGCCATCATGAAAAGTAGACGGGGAGCCGGCCGTGCCTGTCATCACAATCCCGAAACTAGTAAGGCTGTGTTTGTTGCTGAAGAACTCGGGAGCGGGAGCGCTAGGCCTGGGACGCTCATTATTATGTAGGTAATATGGCAGAATCAGCATGCAAGGCAGCAATGCAACCCACATATGACAGTGCAGACAAGCACTGATGTGTGCTGCAGCACCAATCACTACCGCGACAAATCAAACACTTCAGCCCACGCCTCCCCTACCTGTCGTGGTATCATTCGACAGTGTGTCATGCACGAGCAGGCACCGTTACTGGGTTCAGAGGCCCGCACGGGTACCGGAGTGAGCCTAATGGCTTTGGTTGGGAAGTGGAATAAGGCTGCGGTAGTGCGTGAGCACGAGGGAAAAGCAAAGCCACATTCAAAGCCCCAGAAACCTTGGCGTCAGACAATACAAGACAAACCGTTGAGCCAGCTGTCCCTTGGTCTACTTGGTTAGTTCATCCCACTGAGACATAGATAATCATGTTGGCAGCAGAAGACACGATACAGTGCTACGAACTGTATGTTGGTCATGAGAAGCCCCGTGATGAGGGGGCAGAGACCCGACAGTTCGGAACACCCCACGGTGACCTTGGCAAGAAACGCAAATATGTCTCAGAAGGACCAGTCAAAATGGTCTGATCGGCTGCTGGCGCCAAATGACTCCTACTGCAACATGCCCAATGATACCTCCGTAGCGAGCGGGCTGGATATCAAGGTCTACGGGAGACAGGTGGTTGACGGATCTGCCACATCTGCTTATGGTTAAAGGTGCATTAGACAGATTTTCACTTACATGGCAGACAGCATAATCGAGTCGGCCACCAAAGGCTCTTTCTTGCAAATTGCGCAACGAAAGGACTTGCGACTTGGCCCCCAAAACAACCTGCCTGCAGGTGTCCCGTAAAGAGAGGAGTGGGAACTTTTACCGCCAGGCAACATTGAGCCGAGTAGGGTTTAGGGACACGATTGGCCAGAAATGCCTCCAAGCGACCTCGGGGTAGCATGGGAAGTGCAGAGCGTTGCACCCGGCGGTTGCGGAAATCTGCGGCCATTTGGCAGAGACAGGGCCCCTATGCAGTTGGTCGCTAAGTGCAACGAGAAGGGAGTCGCTCTGACCCCAGAGTTGCATCTAGATGAGGGGCTGGGAGATAGATGAGGATTCGGAAGGGCAGGTAGTTTATGCCGAGCCCGCCAAAACCCCCGGCGCAGGCAGCTCGTGTTATGAAATGCTGAACCAACATGCATATGAATAACCCATTCACCTGCCAGTCGCGTCCAGTGCGAGCCCGTGGACAGCCACGCATGAAGGTTGGGCTATGCATCCGGCTGTTGGTTCGCCCCTGATGGAGGTGTCACGAAAACAACAATGGGAACCTCAATGCCACGATAGCTCATTATGCTGCAGGTGCATCCTTCCTCCTCCGCGACAGTCCGCTTTGAGACACGATAGTCGCTTGGATGGTCGCAGCGACGGCCTGTGATCACAGCTGCAGCGGTGGCAGGGGTCAGCACCCGGGACCAACAACGAGCTGGAGCAGCGGGCTGTGTCTTGCTTCGGGCAAAGGGCGGGATGTACCGCCCGCATACCAGAGGATCACTACTCGTTGCGGCCAGGCAGGCCGAATGGGGTGGTCAGTGTATGCTGTGGATGGAGGAATGAAATGAATATTGGCCATTTGAGTTTTGGGTGTTCGGTGGCGTTGCATCCGCCTGTCGCCATCGCCGTCAGCAAGCGCCACCCCTTACCCGGGACCAGCAGTAGCAAGGGAAGTGGGATCTGTCTTGCAGACATTCCATAGACGTATCCAAGAGGGGTGGTAACATTATGATAACTAGCCAGGCTGTCTGGGCTTTCATTGGCACAGTTATCAGGGTGAAACTGCACGGAGGTCGTGAAATTTGGCTCCAGGTTAGCCGTGGATTTCTGAAGATCAAGTACATGTACTGTTCATAGATCCTCCCCTGCTGGTCACTTACAACAACCACGGCGACAATAACCCTACTGACGATGTCAATAATCGCTCAAACGACATCCGAGATAATGCCTCCATGGACAGTGTCACAAACCACGGAGATATGAGCGATCTAATCAATGTGGTTTAATCGATCACCAAAGGTTGATCTTCCTCGAACGATCGAAGCTAATCGCAAGCGATCGATGAGTGCGCAGGATTAATGGATCCGTATTTGACATGGAATTTCAAATCTAGGAGACGGGTCCCCTCCAAACAAAACGGTGGAATGGCGGCAGACCTCCTCGGACGCTCCAATCTTACAAGTAGGGCACGCAAAGTTCCCATCATGTAGGCGGTCACAGCGATCCCGTGACGTCGCAAGGGGGGTGAAGTTTGAAACAGACCACTGAGCGCGGTTGAGGAAGTCGTTCGCGGCTTGGGCCATATACTATATATCATACAAGCTCCACGAAGTCAATTTGAGCTAGGCAAGTTCAGCGGAAACATCTCAGCTCCAGCCACGTCAGAGCTTGTGACTGGGTACTTTCTCCAAATTCCAGGTTCTTGATGCAAATTTCCACGTGAATACAACATCAGTAGACTCGGTAAGGATCCGCGTTCGCCTAGCTAGATGAGTCTTTCCACCCGTTTTCATCAATGGTGAATTTTGCAGCGCCCCTTTTCTTAGCCAATAAGCGGGTGGATGTCGGTACGAAGTTATTCATGTAGAAATAAATATCTAGAACTCTAAGAGAAAGTGTCTTCCTTTGAAAGAGATATCGAGGATTCTGTGGTTCCCACGACCTATGGCGGCATGCATGACTCCGAACGACTTGACAGTGCCACTTTGAACCACAGCTGAGGATAGCAAGTTCGATCCCTTACCAACGAAGGCTTTGGACTTCCCCTCGTTCGTCAATCTCCCACTAACGATCCAGCATAGGATCTGACATGCTGCAATGGAGGATGGCGGGTAAGTCTCTTTCCATATGGCAACCAGCTCTATAATGAGACCAATAAAATATCCAAGGTTCATCGCGATTCTCGAAAATACGTCCTTATGACCCATCATTATAAGTTGGTACATGTACCATTATCAGGCCCGGGGACTCTCCACCGGTTTCATCCCCGCATCAATGCTAGGAGCCAGTGATTGGCGGTGGAGATGACTTCAATGGCGTTGACTGGTATCCTGAAGTCGACATTACTCCCAATATGTCATATGTCATATGGAGAGAAGCCTAGACTGGCTACGCTCACCATGTTGAACAGGGGCCAACCAGTCAATGCCAATTCTCCCTCACCATCATAATTTAATGATTGGGACCAGTCGCTTCTGGGAGCCGCGCTATCCACGATTGGAGATCAAGTTGACTTCTCTCGGCAGCGTCGGATCATTGTAGAATGGATGGGAGAATGTGAGGTGGTCTCTGTGTGTGAGGTCAATTGATTCGGGCGTAAGCAGCCCCGACCGGGTACGTATTTCAGCCACAACAAGCCGCAGCACGGGCATTAGTCAGTCCCAGCGAAAGTGCCAACTGAATGTACTGGGGGGATTGAGGCGCTGGGAACAACAGTTTTCCCGAGCCCCCCAGCCATCACCGCCCAGCCCCAGGGCAGCTCCATGCCAAGCCGCTTCGGTGGCATGGAGCAGGTGCCTGTGTCTCGCAGCAAAGCCCGCCATCGAGCACAGCAAAAAGACGCGTAAACCATCGTCCTAGAAAGCCCCGAGCTGCCATGCCATGCTGAGGGCGCCGCAGCGTATATATTATTGGTAGACCTACTGCTTGCACCGGAAGCCTCCTTCAGCATCCCAATATTCTTACCCCTACCCACCCGCAACTGGCACCATAATAATCTGGCACCTAGGTGCTGACGGCCCGCCATGTCCATCAGAATATCTCTTGAAAATAAGCCCGAATTCTACACCAATCTTGATTTCGTGTCTGGGAGAATCGTCCTGACTCTCAACAAAGCCGAGGCTATTGGTAGCATCGTCGTGAAGCTCGAGGGCGAGGCCATCACCGCCCTGCAGGTCCCTCACCCTCATCAAGATGGCGGGGCGCAGAGGCAAGGTCCTCCCCCAGGCCCTCCCGGCACCGTTGTGAGTGAGAACCACAAACTACTCTACAAGGTACAGCAGGTCTTCCCTGATGAGTACTACTCCAGCGGAAACAGCCCCTACGGCGCATATCCGCTTCAGCCTGGTGAACATGAGTTTCCCTTCCAGTTCAAGCTTCCCATCAACAATGCATGCAGTGACCCCATGGCCATGTCGAAGATTGGGGGCATTGGCGGAGTAGGTGGCTTTGGATCCGGAGGCGGTCTCTTTGGAGGCGGCTTCAGGGTAATGGACGGGAGCAAGCAGCTGTATCTCAAGCATGTCACCAAAACGCTGCCGCCGTCCGTGACTGGTTTCCCAATGGAAGCCGAGATCAGGTATTATCTCAAGGTTACAGTCCAGCGGCCCGGCCTCCTCAAAGAGAATTGGCGTCATCAGCTAGGATTCAAGTTCCTCCCCATTGAGCCGCCTCGACCTCAGAAGACTGGCCAAGAGGGCTTCGCTCGCCGGCCATTCACCTTCAAACCCAAGACGCCAGTTCCAACAGAGAAGAAGTTCAGTTCCATGTTTAAAAAGAGCGAACCATCTGACGTCGCTGATTCTGCGCAGCCTCCGTCTATCGAGATCGCAGCAAGAATACCCCACCCTCCCATCCTGACTTGCAACCAGCCCCTACCTATGCGTTTAATCGCCAAGAAGCTTGTCCCAAGCCCCGAGGAAGCGTTTCTTGTTTCCTTTGAGATGATTCTTCATGGTATCACAGAAGTGCGATGTCACAACATCTACAACCGGAGGGTCAACAAATGGGTCGTAGCATCAAATGCGCAACTCAACGTGCCACTGACATCCTCACCGGAAGATGAGGTTGGAAAGGAGACAGTCCTACCAGACGATTTATGGAAGGACATGGCCCTGCCTAACACTGTGTCCCCTTCATTCGTGTCCTGCAACTTGGTTCGAAGATACGAGCTGGAAATCAAGCTTGGTGTAGCATGGGGGCAGCCTGGCAAGTCGAACAAGACCTTCTCGCGAGACTCGCAAATGCCCCCCGTGATATATCTTCCTCTGCACTTCAACAACGTCGAAGTATACTCCGGAATAAAGCCACCGCCCGAGTTGCTCGAGGCCGCGAGGAACTCGCAGCCAGGACGGGCAACATTCGGCATGGGACCTCGGCTGCCTCCCCGGACCAACACGCAGTCAGAGGCAGGGCCATCTCGACCTCAGCCTCGGCCGGCAGCTCAGGCAGCGCAGCCATCACAGCAAGCGCCGGCCCACCCACCAACCTACAACCCGCTATATCCTCCGCAGCTGGCAGCTGACAACCCGGATGCGGCATACGACGACGCACCGCCCAGCTATGATGAAGCAGTGGCAGAAAACCTGGCAGGCCCGTTCGATGGATTCCAGGAACGGCCAGCTTACAGCGGGATAACAAATGAGAACGCCCCAAGCCAGATGCCTGGGGAAAAGAATTGAGCCAGCGGCATAGTCCCGTAAAAGAAATCAGAGACTACTTCCGTATGGTATTCATAATCTCATTTGCATAAGCCAAAAGTAGTAACATTACCACAATGTGCCGAAATCGACCATCGGCATATTACCGTAGATCATGGTTCGGGTGTACATTGCCAGGGCTTCTATACTAAGTCAGGGATAGTAAAGACCTGATGAGTGTCATCGGGACTGGGTTATGTCGAGGAACGGGGTCGCAATCTCTATGTAGATAGAAGAAGGGCAGCAGCATAGCGTTTGGCGCATGGAATCAAGGTCTTGGTATTTGCGGACGACCTTATGATAGGATGACACGTTTGAAACGAAATAGAAAAACCGGGATGCAAAAAAAAAAAAACACCCTATTTCTATCCGAAAACCGTTTACGATGAA